AGGCTACATTAAATCTTCATTCCCTCTTCAAAGGAGAGCTGTTCACTTCCTTTCCACCTTGCAAATATTGATAATACTAAAATGCTTGCCTGAGTTTATTTGGAATTTGGCAAATGATCAACTCTTTCCTCTGGAGGGTGCCCCAATATTGAAACTTCAAATATCCTTGTTTGCATGACCTTTAGTTATTGAAAAAGTTTTCTTCATATTATTACTTTTACTATTACATATGATAATTGACCAATATAATAATATTGACCAGAATGATGGCTCTAGTTAGGAGGCCTAACAACATCCCAAATCCTTTTTCATTGACTTTACTGCAATTTGCTCTGCTTAAGAGATTTTGAAACAAAAGAGTGCCCCTGCTCTTGCATGCATAAAACCCTGCAGGTGAAAATGATGAGAAAAATTACTGGGCAAGGTATTAGGCAGGCACTGATTGTATCCTATTTAGAACTCTGCAATAAAAAAATATATATAATACTGAGGCTGGGTGCAGTGGCTCATGCTTGTAATCCCAAAACTTTGGGAGTCTGAAGCAGGAGGATTGCTTGAGCCCAGGAGTATTAGACAGGAATGGTGAGGATATCTCAGCACCCAGCAAAGTTTGGCTTGTACATAGAGTTGAGCGGTGTGGTACCAGAATCAGGCAGATCTAAGATGAAATTCTAACCCCACTGCATATTAGATGTACCATTATGGTTAGTTTCTTAGACTTGAGAGCCAGTTTTCTCATCTGTAAAATGGGTATAATAATAATTTTGAGGGGAATCAAATGAGAATTTATGTGATGTACTTAGCAATGCCTGGTGTGCCTAAAGCCCTAAGTAAATGGTAATTTTTATTCATTCAATTAAAAAAAAAAAAAAGAAAAAGACATGTATTGGGTATCTGCTGGGCTCATGGCATGTTGTAGGTACAAAATGTATCAAGACATTGGCCCTGTCCATAAAGAATTCACAGTCAGGGTTGGTGGAGGCAGGAAAGCTAAACACTTTTGTAATTTCAAGGTAGAAAGTAATAAAGGACAGAAAGATTATGGAAGGGAGAAGTCTTTGAGAACAGTCGTCTTTGAGTTGGGTCTTGTAGGATGTGAAGAATGTGGACAGGTAGAGTTGAGTGGGGATTAAACAACTGACATTCTGGAGAAAAGAAATAAAGCCTAAGAGAGGAATTAGACAGGAATGGTGAGGATATCTCAGCACCCAGCAAAGTTTGGCTTGTACATAGGGAGTAAAATGGACAGAAGTGGGAAGCAGGCCTACTAAGAATTTCTAAGCCTAGCTGGGGAATGTATACCTGTTGTGACAAGATTCACTCTGTCACCGCAGGCTGGAGTGCAGTGGTTGCAATCATGCCTCACCGCA